TAGGTGAAACTTTTCTAAAGTGAGGATATTCGACTTGTAAATTGAAAGACAAAAAAAAGTAATTGGGAAGTCCTGTCTTTGTGGAGCACACATTGTTGTAATTTAAAAAAAATGGAAATAAAAGAAGAAAAATGCTCTGTGATATAACATGACGGCTGGTTTGCAAACAAAGTAATACATTCCTCTTTTTGTGCCCTCTGAACCGAACACCCACCACGGTGGCAATATCATTAACTTAATAAACAGTTTGTGTATTTTTCCTGAAATACTCATCTATCTGACTATGCAGTGGGAGGTGACGTTACATTTTATTGAAAACACAAAGAAATCAAAATCTAGGTGCTATTTTCTCTTTTCTGTGGTGCTATGTATTTTTCTAGTTTGTTTTGTCTGAATGAAAGAATATTTTGGTGGTAATACTCCATCCCTGGCTGCTTCTTGACCCACTCCACCACCACATCTGACACATTTGGATCTTTGCTGCATCCATTTGGGGTTTTTTTTTTTTTTTTTGGTCAGTTGCAGTATTGCATGTCATTTCTCTACATATCTACTGTACGATTTGTGCAGCATGTCAGTCTATCCTTCAGACCACACAGATAAGTAACGCGTCTGGTGCCTTTCTGTACAGAATATTGCAATAATGAAAGCAGAGGAAACTAAGGTGGCGCCCTTGGCTTCGCATATCATTGCTGCATGACTCCACATTTTTTTGGCACTTCCTGTTGGATCCTCTGTGCTACATCGTTCCGACGGAGTTCCAAAGTGGATACCTTTTGACTGAGCCAAAGGGCTATGGTTCGACGTTTTGTTGGTGTAGAACCCATCCAAAGGTTTTCGCATATCTCTTTCCGAGGCTTGAAATCGTGTTTTGTATGGGAGACAACCTGAAAAGTCACCAAATTAGCCAGACGGAAAAGTTTGCTCATGCAGCGTATAAAAAAAAAGATTTCTTGTAGGTCTTCTTCTTTTGCCATTAATGTAACAATGCTCTCTGTTCAAACTATGCACTCTATATGCTTATGACCACTAGTATCTACCACAGACCTTTCACAGCTCATACATAGGTCTGTTTTGTTTCCTTTTTTAGCTTTAAATATGTGACTTGAACCATTTCTGTTAAGATAACTCAATATGCGTGTAGATCTTTTGCTTTTTTTTCATTGTGTTTGCAGTACACCCAACTTTATCACTTTGCTTTGAATAAAATAGACAAGCAACTTCCTCTGTAAATTTCCAGGACCAGCAGTGATGCTGCCTTGATTTTGTTTTATTTTGTAGATTTTCGTTCGTTCGTATGTCTGTTTGTTTGTTTTCACAGTCTTGTCAAACCTGTGTAAGGATAAGAGGATAGATTATATTGGTTTTTATGTCAATAAATTCAAGTTTACTGTGGCCATCCACTCTTGTATGTCTTTTGAAGCATTAAAACCTATCTGTATGCATGAAATTGTAAAGTTTTTTTCTCTTGTTCTAAGTTTGAAGAGCCACATGATCTCCAGCCCACGCTGCACTCATCAGGATAATGGAACAGATGAAAAACGGTCATGTTCACAATTGTGAAGTGGAGAGAAAATGATGAAATTGTAACTCTACCAAAGCAATGTCCATTGTAGTATATTTATTGTATTATTTAAAATAAGAAAAATAAATGATAAATGACACCATAGTGTAAGTGTAAGAGGCCCAATCTTTACATTCACACAGGAAAACAAAATTTTAACTTTGCACATGCTACTTTACCTGATAAGTGGTGAAATTCATTCCTTTTGATGAGGCTTTTCCCTGCAGATAATTGGTAAAGCCGTCCTGTTGTCTTATTGTATTATTACCTGTGTGTGTAAGGGTGAATGTTGTCCTGTAAATGCTAAATTATTGGTTGTATGTATGTTTAGCATGTTTATGCGGTGTTAAGACTGCTATCAAGTGTGAAACAATTCTAGTTCCACAGAAAGACCACAAGAGGGAAGATCTCAGGCCGCATTTTGTGATCAGACCTGCAATCCATCTGCTGACAATTCCCTGCTGGTTCCTCCATCAAACACTGGCTCCCTGGGTTTATTTGTGGACCAACAATGTATGTACTTCAATCACTTCAAGCATTTTTTTCTATATTGCCTGCAGCTTATTAGGATAAACAGAAAAAAAATATGTACAGTATTATTCGCTGTATGCATTTCCTGCGAGTATATCTCAATGATCATTATAATAAAAGATGTGCTTTAACCCTGTTGTGCACCACTAATTTCAATAATCTGCTTTGATCAGATCTGTGGTGGGGAACATGACTAGCAGCACTTCTCAAGTGTCTCATTAGGAAAAGCATTGCACAGTAAGAATTAAGCTCAGCACAGCAAAAAGATAAATTAATAAATAAAAGGTTGTCTGCGTGATACCGTGATCAATATTTAATGCAGTGTTTACTGGATGGATGTAGGACGATCTCTGTGGATGAAGCAGCATCCTGGGTGAGTAAAACAGAAACCAAAGTTAATGCCTCATATCTGCACAGAACTACTTATAACAGCAATAGGGATAAGTGGGTCATCAAAGTGGGTGTTCACAAAGGTGGGAGGAACAGGTTGGGATTCAGCTCCTTCCAATTATGGTGACAGATTATGTTAAAAAAAAAACTACAGCACTCAAGTGTAACAACAGGCTTGCAAAAAAAAAAAAACTCTACATGGGAAGATTTGTGATACACCCCTAACATAGGATTGGCTAGAAGAATCTGATTGTACACAGTGGATAATATGCCTTTTAAAAGCAAACAGTTAAGGGACAGAGCAGTGAAGAAATCTGATTAGTTGTTACACAGCTATATCAATCCTATATTCATTTAAAAACATCTAAATAAAATACCATTAACACCAACATCTGAACTTAATCTTTATGTGGAAAACAAAGACATTTGTAGAATACCCACAGGCAGATAATATCACTAGATAAGTTGTCAAAAATCAATCCTCTGACCCGCTGTTTCACACAGGCATATCAGTTCTTCTGTCTTTATTAATAAAGTATGATTGCCTTATGGGGTGCGCAGTAGTGTAGTAGTTAGCCTCACAGCAAGCAGATTCCTGGTTTTGAATTATGGCTGGGGCCTAAAAAGGAGTTCAGACAAAATCGTATCACAAAATTGTGTCAACTGGAAAGGATTGTGAATGGTAGTTTTTCTCTGTGGGGCCCTTTGATGGACAGGCGACCTGTTACTGTGTACACTGCCTATCGACAATGACATCTTTGATTGACACTGAATTGGAACAATAGGTTATAAAAAGCACACAGATGGATGAGTGGTCTGTAGAATATCTGTTCAAAGTTGTGTGACTGAAAACATTTAATTAGTCTTGCAGTTATAAAGACTTAGATTTTTTGTAGTTTTTAAGACTGTGGCATTGATAGTTTATAAATGATGATTATCCTTAAAAAGCGAACACGATTAATTTCCATTTTGAAATCAACAAACAAATCATGAGAGAAAAATCTGCATGTTGACAGATTCTTGTTTTAATCTCTATATTAGGTTGTACAATCCAATCTATATATAAGAACAAGAAATCTGGACCATAAAAATAAACATCTTTGAATGCGCCTTGTTATCAGTGTTATGCATCTTGTTTTTATTCCAGGAGAATCCATGAACCAAAGCCTGAAAGGTTAAAGACTCGATAATCAAACATTAGTGTTTTGACACTGCACAAATAGCTGTTTTTTAATTGGGCTCCATATTAGGCGGCCTTAACAATAAAAAAAAGCAGTGGATGGAAGGTACAAGGCTACGCAAACAGAAATAATGACCAAAACTCAAGGGCTGACCACTATGGGTTTATAATGGCGTTTTGTCACAAAGAGCACCTTTGTCTAGATTTTTCAGAGGCAGCCTGGAGAACACAAACAGGAGCCAGAGCCTAAACAATGTGTGTTTCTTGATGTTTATATGGAAAAATAAACCGCTCCCTCTTGCAATTTGATGACTAGTCTTTGTTCTCCCCACCTGTGATTAAGGAATTAAGAGAGATGCACACGGAACATTGATTAATAATAATTTTGTATCAGGGAAATATTCAAAGAGAATTCCTTTGAATATACACCTCTCATACAATCCATGGAAGGCTAATTGATTAATGTTAAAAAGTGCTGTTAATATGTGGTCTGGAGTTGTTGGGGCGGAGCAGAAGGGGACATTTAATGGAAATTTGGGACACAGCCCCTGTGTCAGTGTGTAATTGCTCTGAGCCTGTGGATCTTCAGCGAACAGAGCCTATTCATGGCCGGGCCCCGCCACCACTGACCTACTTCCATGTAAATCAGATAACTGAGAGAGAAAGAGATAGTGTTACAA